GTGCCCGGGGGGTTTGGGTTTTTGCCCGGGAGACCATTTTTTTTTTTTCCCGGGGGTTGTGGGGATTTTTTTTTTTTTTGTGGGGGCGGGCCCCATATTATTTTTCCAGGGCGGGGGGGGGGGGAGAGAGTTTGTCCTGTGGGCGTCCCTCCGCCCGCAAAAAGGTCCCAAAATTTTCCAAAATTTTGTATTTTACCCGGTTTTTTTTGAAAACGCAACAAATTTCCTTTTGGGGAAAAGTTTTTTTGGTTTTTTGGGGGGGGGGGGGGGGCGAATTCCTACAAAGGTTGGTCCTGGTGCGGAGTTGATCGTTCTTTCTTGCGCGGAATCTGTTCCCGATTTTTGTACTCTTTTCACAAGCTGCGTTTTGTTTGTCGCCCCTCCGCATCTAGAGGGATCAGTTTCGACTCTTCAACTACCGCCCGCGATGAACAATCAAGCGCGACGCTGGTGAGCGAGAGGGCGGAGCATTACAGGCACCCGTCCTGTAAGGGACCCTGCTTGGAGCATATTTTGTAGCGTGTTTTCACGTCTTGGTTTATCCCACTTGCGCTTGGAAGAAATGGAAGAATAAAAACATCAAACTCACACGCCTGAAGAACAGGACACGAGAGGCTGGTAGGAGCCCAACCGCTTTGGTCCGTGCCGCTCCCGAGAACTAGAGCTACAGACTGTGCGCTACACAATCAGGTGCATCACTGGATTTGGCTCCGGGTCGTGAAGCCGCTTTCAAAAACAAAACACAAGAAGCGCAGCCACTAAATACGAGTACTTGCATCAATGTGCTTGTGACTCAGACCGGGGCTACCCAAGGCCTGACACCTACACGACACCGAGCACCTTCCGAGATTGCGGTGAACCTGATTCACTTGAGAGCCCCAGCACGGCACTCACTCCCTAATTGGCGCTCACACTTTTTCGTTCACACTACGGCTGCGACACGGCACACCATGAAACAAGGGCCGCCCGCCCAAAAGCAATGTATCTGCAGCATTGCGCGGCATTACCACGCAGAAACAGCTTTCTCTTTCGTTCGGGCGGCGCCAAGCTCTCCTCCGCAAATCGAATGTTGACAACCCGCATCGCACCACCCTTCCTCCGCATGTTAAAAGCAAACAACGCCAAAACAATGAAGGCAGTCGGCAACTGGTACGCATCAAACATCAACATGTTCAAGCCTACAGAGGTTTGCGACAGACCGCAAGGTACATTGGTGTGAAGGTCCCGGTGAGGCCGCCCTGCGCGCAGCCCATGCCCCCGGCCTGCAGCATGGCCTGCACTTTGTTCGTTCCCGCCGGTGCAAGATAAAACTTTCGATATGCAGCGCGTGTGGCATCGGAGGGGACGGGGGGGGGACAAGGGACGGGTTCAGAACCTCAAAAGTCTCCCGCCAGAAGCATGCACGCGACACTGATGTGGGACACTCTGGATGCAGGCTAGGTCACGCCTATCTTATCCAACCGCAAAGAAGGTGGAAAAGTCGTTCCTACAACGCACAGGTCGACCAACTTCCTCAAGGGGGGAAAAGGGCACCAACAGCAACACCCATTCTGCCGAATATTCACGCCCACAAATCAGCTCTCACCATCTCCATCACGTACAGGGCCGCTTTCGTCAGCCGCATCCCTAGCCAGTTGAACTGAAACCTTTGCGTGAAGACGTTCCAGCTAGGCGTGAGGGGCTGGTACCACGGGATTCCTCCCGGGTTAGGGTCGAGCGCGGCGTCCCTTGTCTCCAGGATCTCGAAGCCCGACGCCTTGAGGGCTGAGTCGACCTCCGGAGGGGTGATCATGTCAGGAAGCCCGTCCCCCTCCTGTTACATAGATACGAGGGACAGGATATGCATGGAGCCGAGTGTACCACAACGTTTACCCCAAGGCACGTGACAAACGATCGATCGAAAGGGAGGGGGAGCGAGGTAAGACAGAGAGCACGAAAACACAGCAGTTGTGTCAGAAAAATCAGATGTTCACCCCGGCCTTTTTGTTTGATACCACGAGACATACGCACACGACGTCATCCACCGCTGCCAAGAGGTGGCATCGGGCGATGCCTTGCTACACCAGTATTGGCCCGGACATCACAGCTTGAGCAAGACCAAACTTGCTCCGAGCACAAGGCAATGCGAAGATCCAAGTAGAACGGTCCGCTGCCGGTCGGTCTTCCTTCGTCACCTCGATCTGCTTCTTGATCAACCGGTGCTTGTCGTTGCTGGCGTCAAACTTGTCCGTGAGGCACCACTCGTAACACGCGAACACGCATCCCGGCTTGAGCACGCGGTAGATCTCGCTGTACACGCCCTCTCTGCGTCGCGTCAGTCCAGTTCATTTCTGGTCAAGTTAGAATCAGTGATGGTTCTGACGGGACGATTCGCCTGCGCGTGTTTGATTCGCTACTGTATCTACGTTGTGGTGATTCGGGAGAGTTTGGTACTCAGCCCGAAGACACCCCAACAACCCAGTCACGCTCATTCGGAAGTCGGCTCCTCTCCATCTTCTTGTACACATTCATATAGGTCGGGACTTGGTTGCTTGGATGCAAGACACGTACAGTACATCGGAGCCACTACCGGATGTGCCCAGCCCTGATCCAATCCATCATGCGGAAGAAATATTCAAAACCATGGCAGAACGACCAACGAGTCCGTCGTGTGTAGCAAATTGCCGTGTACAGGGAATCACTCGTGTGAAGCAAACGTCGTGCGTACCTCTGCGGCGCGTGGCAGGTGGCTTCGATAGCGTAAACACCATCGAAAGAGTTATCCTCGAACGGCAACTTCATGAAATCCCCCTGTAAACCAGGAGGGGACAAGAGACGACAGGGGAGGAAGCAAGTGCTTATTCGCGAACGCACCCAGCTTTCGCAGAACAATGCGTGGAGTCCAGCACCACATATCTCAAGACACATCTCAAGACGCTCTTGTGCACCCTCAAACAACAGCGGCCTACCACACCGTAGACATAAAGGTTATGCGGACCAAAGGTAATTGCAGTAGCCTTCAAACATGGACGAGATCAGCGGTACGGCATGCTCTCAGCTCCGCTAAGCAGCAAGAGGGAGGAAGAACAAAGGAGAGAGAAAGTCACCTGAATAGATCGGCACTGTTGGTCGACGCCCATATTCTTGTTCACCTCGTTTCCTCTCTTCACCTGCCGTGTCCCGCAGGTAAGCAAACCGAAGCAAGGAGAAAAACGACACATGCAATTGCTCGTTCACAGACAGGTGTAGCGAGTGTGGCAGGCGCAAGAAGGATGGCGATGCTGTCCTTCGACTAATCCCATTCGTACCAAGGCGAAGACCTGACAAGAGCAAGGCGCATGATGCTTGATATGAAATGTATCGAGTGTATTCGTCAACATCTATCCATCAGCTCGAGATGTTACCATGCGGCGCCACGAAGGTCAATGTGTAAACAACGTGTGCTGGTTCAGGCGGGTACACAATGGGTCGGATGGAATACCCATACATGCGTAATGAGCACATTCTTCGTGTATGGCGCGTTTCTCTTGTGCATATCCTTAATGCCCGCACCTGGTACTCGTTGATAGTAATTCCAGTAATGTCCGCGCCTGTGAACTGAGCGATGTTGCGGTACGGCCCACCGATGCCGCAGCCGCAGTCCAGGACCTTAGCGCCGCGGCTGACACCCAGCCGACCGCCCAGGTAGTACTCGTGTCGCTGAACAGGCCGGTCAAAACGATCCATGTTTAGATGTTTAGTGTCGGACGGAAGAAGATTGGCTACAGATGCACGACAGCAGTAGGGCGGGTGTACGGTTCTGTAAAGAGCGAAAACCGAAACAAATTGGTGACGCACCAACATCCCGCGCGATAACGGTACCAATTGTACTTGTACCATTATGAACCCAAGCAGTCTTCACGCCGGCGACCGCACGCGTACATTCGCCGGCCTTGCCATTAAACGACCGCCAAACACACACCCAAACACAACCGAGCTCCCACCGCCTTCACCATGGCTATGATTCCAACCACATCAACGAGTCACACTACAACAAACACGGCATCCTTTCGACAAGGGGCTGATGGACATGTCGCCAAGGGTAGAACAATTCAAACAAGGAACAAGGAGCAATTAGTCGACCACACTACAATGTATAGGCATCATCTTTACATGGTGCGCTACCGATGTATCAACTACAGCGGCGGCTGCTATCGCCTCTACGGCAGCTACCACTGTGGAGTCTCCCTCATCGCAACTCAACACAAACGCCATCCAAGACAAGCGGACGCCGGCCACGGTCACTGACCATCGTCACGCCTCCCTCACCTCACCCTCTCGTCTTTCCCTTCACACCCCTCGCTCCTCACCTTGATGGAGTCCTGGAAGCTCTCGTTGCGCCACCTGCTCGCAAAGTGGAACGAGCTTCCCCAGCCCCATTCATAGAACAGAGTAGCAAGCTCGTAGTACGCGTTTACCAGCTTGGCGTAGCTCCCTTCTCGCTCTTCGACGCTGAAGTATTTCGTTGGTCGCATCAAATCGCATTGGTCGCATCAAAAATAGCACTAGTGCCAGGAAATACACCGGCAGTCGGTGGGGTAGGGCAACATCAAAAGAAAAGTGTCGGGGTGCTGAAACTCACGCCAGCGCTATCAGGAAGGCTATCGTGCTTCTGCGGTGTCGCATCACTACGCGCTTGGCTATTCGTTTCTCTGTGTAAAAAGTGACCGAAAATCGTCAGGTAGATTCCTCCCAGCGCGTCATCCTTCTGTTATGGTACTTGGACCCTTGGACTAAGATACCATATCTTTTAGCAATACCCCGATCACCTGCCCAGATTCCTGTACTCCGACATTGGGCAGGTAACCAGAAATCTGGGCAGGTGGTCGGGATGTTGCAAAAATATATACTCGCCCAGATGGTATCTTAGTCCAAGGGTCCAAATACCATAACAAGCCACTTCGCCTGAAGTCATCCCCAGATTTCAATACATGCAAAGCCGATGGCAACGTGGACAAAAGCAACAACCAGTCCCTCCACCTAAGAGTAATTTCCTCACGAATCAAGCATCCAAGGAAACTATCCCCCTTCCCCCTTCTCTCCGGTTAGCAACTGCTTCTCCCCGTGGACGCTGCTAACAAACACCTGAGGACTGTGCTGTGAAAGGCTCGCTGGTGTGAGGGCTAGATTTTGCGATGGTCTTCGATTTATAAGAACTGCTGTTCCTGCGGCAGATACGGTAGTGACCAGCGAACGAACTCCACTTTTGGAGTGCCTCTCCTTACCTCGATTCGTTGTCGTCGTGCAGTCGGTTGTACTCCGTGATCCAGCTGTCTACCTTGATGCCCCTTCCCTTCTCCTGTCCAAAAAATCCGCGGATGAAAGTCCAAGTGACCTCAAGCGGGTCCGTGGCGTACACCAGCCGGCAGAAAACCTACCGTGTTGTACAAGCAGTCAATACACCATCCCGGAGAGAGAGGGGAAGGCAAGGCGAGGCCAGGCCAAGCGATGCGCGGAGGGGATGGCGAGAGGAAGGTTTACAACACGCTTTTGCGTTGAGCAATGTCTCGATATTCGCCGACGAAGTGACAGGTACAAGGAACGTCTTCACACCACTGTCTACGTCTGTACAAAGAGTTGTGGCCTGACGGGACACATGGCACATCACACGTTGTTACCGAACCGCCCCAAGGTGTGGGCGTACGCTGTCCCTACGTGCACAAAGGGAAAGGCCTTTCTTCTGGGCAGACAGGTGCTGCTGTTTAACGAGCCGTCATCACCCTCTACTCCCTCACTCTCTCTCCTCTTCCACACCTAGCATCAGAGATGGGGATTCTTGTTTACTTCGCAACCCACACTCGTACAGCGACTACGCTGTTTCCTACCATAACTTGAAAAAAAAAAAACTTGTCAACAACAGAGTTGGTGTGTTTGGTGCGTCATAGTGCCCCACGTTGCTTCCCCTCGACACCCTCATCTCGCTCGCTTGGAAAAGTGCCACCGAAACCTGCGTGAATACTACTATGTGTACGGATAACAGTAAGTCATGAGGGCACGCGTGACACTGCTGTAAAAAATACACCGGTGGTGCGGTCGTGTAAATCAGTGATGAGCGCAACGTACGATGAACCACCACCACCCTGTAAGAACTTCAAGACACACCCAGGAGAGTATGTCCCGACTACGTAGGACGGATACTGCTGGGTCCTCTGATTTTTTCCTACAGGATATCAAGACCAACACCTGGAAAGAGTTCAAGGAGGTATAGCCTGTGTTTAATCTGGTGGGGCAAGCACCCGGAACTTGTGCTTGCAAAAGGCGAAGGCAGGCCGCGGAAAATGATCTACAGGCCGCGGGAGGGCAAAGGCATGCGTCTCGTACTTGTGTACATGTAGCATCACCAAACAATAGAATTCCCGCTGGAGTTATCCCCCACGACAATTGCTCAACAGTTTATTCATGCATCTTAGATTTGATCACCTTATATAGGTCCCACACAAACCACCTTCTATGAATCCTTTCTCGGCAGAGAGGACACGAGACGACAGACGAGGGACTTCCAGACAACATGACAAAGCTGGGTGTGTGTTCCCCAAGCAAGCAATGTGTTCCGGATCGGAATCCCCGATATTTTCAAAAATCAAAAATCAATATTTAAAGCTCACCTCGTGCTGGGTTGTGCGAGAGCAGGGAGAGAGTGCGGAACACCAGACAAGGAGGGGCATAACACACCAAAAACGAAGGATACAGGCGGTGAACCTGGGACAGCTCAGTAGCTGCTCTAGCTGCTAGTGGCGTGTTGTTCTCGTCGTTGAGATGCCGCCGGCTCTCGTCAACGGAATAATGACCGATCCAACTTTTTGTTGCAAGCCATTCGCACCTTTGCAGAGGTGTGCAGGTTGAGAGAACACCAACTACATGCATAGTGGGAAAAGCTTCAGAAAAGCGCGTAATGTGCTCGATCAATACCCGCTGCAGAGTATGTTCGGCTGTGCCTCTTACCTTCAGGACAACCAGCGTCGAGCATGCCAGGGTGAGTGCGGCATTCGCCAACACCAACGGAGGTTGATCAAGCGGTGATTCCAAGACCGAGTCCAGCGGTTTATCCTTCAGTTGTGCGTACAGCACAGCACTACTCACTACACAGAGGGCGAGAGTGGTGGCCATGACTACAGCAACACCAAAAGCAGAAGCCTTAAGTACGGTTTCAGGCACAGGACAGAGCTGAGCGTAGCCAGCCGTAGCTGAATACTGCTGCAAATAGCCGCAAATCCGCCGCATCATGCTCTCCTTCCCGTGCTTAATAATCCTTCCATCCCAGCTGCGTGTCCCCCCCCCCCCAAAAAGCGAATGATGGGGGGGAGGTGGGCGGACTCTTCAACAATCTTGTGGCCGGCGCCGCGGCGCGCCAATCGCGAGGAACCGAGGAGGGTCCAGTCAGTTTTACGTTGCTGGAATTGTCGTGTCTCCACTCTTGCCTCCAGCAGGGGATAAATTTGTAGGTGCACATCGCTATCGATAGACGACGAAGATTATTAGGGTTAGGGGAGGGCGTCCAGAATATAGATGGGACGGAACAAAAACAACGTCGAGTGGGAGCGGATCAAATCCCGAAGGAGCGATAAAGACGTCGATGCCCTGCCAAAGCCTGGGCAATCAACAGCACTGAAGAAGAGAGGCGCGTTACGACAGCAACATCCGCGATCGGCCGGGAAAGCAGCCGGCGATACATACGCGCTCGGTCGTGGAGAAATAAATGTTTTCGCGATGGCCCTTTTCGCAAAATACCTGCCCATATGGTGCAGCAGTACCACCTTCGACGGAGGGAGGAATCCTTGCTGCATGTTCAGAGAAGCACGTGTATGCATACTTCATATCCCACAGAGATTTCCTTGCGGACGGAACGAGAGGCTAGCACACCACTTCCTCTAGAAAATAACCACAGCGAGTCGGATGAACCTTCAATTCTTTCTATCGGTGGAAAGTGGAAAGCCATGCAACTAACAAGCTTCGTTCCCAACGCAGGGCAGCTACTAACGTACAACACCCCTACGACGAGCACGAGCATCAAATAGGTCGTCGGTGCCCAAACGCTGTCATGAACTTGTCCGCAAGGTCATTCATGGAGCCAGCGCTCTTCTGCACCGACGCCAGGTACGCGACTGAAAGCGAGTCGTTGAATTCCTGCAAAGCGGAAGTCAACGGCGGTCCCGACAAAAAGGAGGTCGATTTGGTGAGGCACTCACTGCAATCATGCAGGAAAACAAAAGAGTTACGTGCATCGCAGTGTCCAGGCCTCCACATTGTTCTCTCTGCTGCGGTGACGCGCCGAACGCCCAGCCTGTCTGCCTTTTGGTCAAGTGAACGACCGGCTTCATACATGCAACATTTTGGGTTGGCAGAATGCCTGCTGCTCCCGGTCCGAACCTGCGAACAACTTGCGCATAGAGCCTGCAACGCAAGGCTGACAAATTATGACGTGCGCCCGATTTTTTTTTACTCGGTTAAGTGCGGGCGGGTATACACGGACGGGTTCATCAGAAATATTGAGAAACGTCCAAGACTTTTACACCAGCTATCGTTGGAAACGTGAAGCGTTGACACACAAGCACTCACCCGCATGAACTCCTCGGAGAACTGTGCTCCGTCCATTGTCGGGAGCTGGTTGCAGATGCTTGAGATTTGTCGCAGCAGGGGGTAGTCTACGGAGATGTTGCCTGCAAGGTTCGCGGAAGCCACGTCAAAACGCGCGTTTGTGACAACACGGAAGACCCAGCGGTGCCTTTGTGAGCACAACGTTCACACGACGGTAATCGTGCATCTCACACGGGTACCAGGAAAGTGCGTGGCAGAATAACATTAACGCCTGCTGAGTGCATCCTCCGAGCCCAAGAAGCGAGCCGCAAGCCTGGCGCTGCCGAAAACCCCAAAGAGCGTCGTGAATTTTTCGTTGTACAACAACATCTGAAACCCTTGGCCTTCGTAACCAGGAACATTTTTCTATGCATACGACGAGACAACCATTGGGGCATGGTCGTGCATTTGAGGGGAAAAAACAACAAGTATGATTTGAGTCTCACCCTTCTTGGTCTCCTCCAGGAATCTCCGCAGGATCTCAATTCTGGCAAGGAGGGTCCGTAGCGACGTGCTCACTGCGCCCGCGTGCAGATCGACTGCCCCCCAAACAATTCAACGACAGATGAGCAGGATTTCAGATTCAATCGCCCCCTTCGCGATCCGCATTCGGACGTGGATACAAGAGGTGGGCACTTAATAGTGGGAAAAGAGCGGGTGTCAACAAAGATACACTCAGTGGAATTAAACAAAACCTACACAACCCAGCCGGGTTGTTTCTGAACCAGATGCAGAAAACTCACTCGATGATATGCCGTCGGTGGGAGTCGCCTTGGCCACATGCTCAACGGAGATCTGCTCCGCCTGCGTAGTTTCAAGCTGTGAGACAGAGACGACGACCGGCAGCACAGCAACGACACAATCATAAGGCGGGGTTCTTGCCCGCCAGACACAAAAACCAAACGCAATTGGGCCAAATAAACCTCACAGGTGGTACCCGCCAATCGTGATCTTCCGTCCTTTTTCGATTCTAAACGAAATGGCAATTTTGAACCTCGCCGACAAACACACGAAGACAAGACGAGACATGGGCATCCCGGAAAAAAAAACTAAACCCTATGGTAGTGGACTGCAGTCATCGACATAACATCACAGGTTGCATGTACTCTCGAAACTCGCCTGGAAAGCCAGCTGAACGAAGGTAGACTGTGCTACTCCGTCCAACATGTGCGACTCCGACTCGTGAATCAAAACTGGTAGTTCCTTCGACCCTTGAGCAGGGCTAGGGTTCATTAGCAAGAAGAGCGGCGACGAGTTGAACTTCGTCATCTATAACACGCGATCGGGGGACGGGGAGGGGAGCGGTGTAGATCAGCGAGTATGAATCGGCAGAATTTGGCGTGAAGGTGCCCTGCCAAGAGCAAACTTGTGTTGCGTCAACATACACTTGATGTTCCCGTGCAACACAACGCAAGGTTTTCTGGGGTAAAGTTCAAGGCTTGACTGTTGCAACGCGGATTCTTGCCAATAATGAACTTCTAAGCAGTTCGTCACTAGGTGCACACATCTTAAGTTTCGCCACGATGCCTGGTGTCTACCACTGCTCAACTTGAAAATCAGCAAGGTTGTATTCTCCTTGGGCGATGGAAAAAGGGGCCAACCGAAAGTCACATCTCCACGGTACAGCAGTCAGCTGTTTCGACGTTTCGACAGTCGAATTGAGCGTGGAGCAACATCACCTTGCGTACTTCTAGCCGTGGGCCAGCAGAAAATAAAAAAACGACGATACCCGTGAGGGAGGGCACGAGTATTACCTACGCAGCATGCGTGCAACCAAGAGCAAAAACATATTCCTGCCTACCCCGCGAACCAGGAATACCCGTCCCGTCGCTTCGATCATGTATCGTGTGTGTATGATGGTCTGACCTGGCGTTGGATGCCCAAATCCAGCTCCGTGACTTCTGTGCCGACTGTGTACCACCCCAGGATCTCGTACATTGGGTAAACCGCAGTATCTTGAGAGAAATGCGCAACCGTGAGGAATTCGACGGAGAGAGGTCATTTTGGTGACGAATGCTATCGTATCGACGCCATATAAAACAACGCGTGGCGGTGGTGGACTTGTATTTAACCTTGGGTGAAAGGCAAACCTTCAGTCGCGAGCTGCTTCAAACTGCTGTTCCTGCAGTACTCGAGTTTTCTTTACACGAGTTGGAACACCGTCGCTGCTCTTGGAGCGTATTCCGGGTCCAACAATGAACGGTCAGATAGCTTTAGGGACGGCCGAAGGCGATAACCCCTAGGCGATTGGAGTGCGAACACAACCTTAGGGAACAAGTTTCAAACAGACCAGCCACGGAAACCTAAAGGTGGCAACTCACATAGGTTCTTCTGCTTCTCCACCAAAGCTTCGTTCAATTCCAAACCGTTCGCCCCCACAGCGGTGCACGCCACCTCCATCGCATCGTAGATGCTCACGTCGCGCCCATTCTGAGACCCAAACAGGAGACCGATCACGCGCCCGCCGGCTTCCTGGGCCCCACCTCCCGTCGAGACTCGAGTGTGGTGGTCCGAAATCGTGATAACGGTGAGCTGGGGCGTATGGCATCGAGGCAGACGAGGGTTTCAATGGTGGGAAACGGAAAAACAGTTAACCGGCGCTCCGCTACGGCGACAAGGACGTACTGCTGTAGTGCTACCAAGAATACACTCTACTGGACATTTGTCGCTACGGCGAGAAGGACGTACTGCTGTAGTGCTACCAAGAATACACTCTACTGGACATTTGTCAACGATGTACAACAGTGGGGGGCCTTCAGTAGTGCCGATATGGGCCCGACGAGTATACTATTCAAAGTACTTGATGACTTGGTGATTCAGTCTGTGCCCGCCCAAAACACCGGCACTCTACCGTCGGCATTATTCAACCAGCACTCAGGCCCTTGTCTGAGCCATGACCCGAACCAAAAAGAGGCTGCTACAAACAAAACAATCAGTGTTGTAATTTGAGCGGTGTTCCCTGCAATACGGCGCGGGTTGTTGAATCGAGTGTGTGCCGTCGCGTGCTCGATTCACAGACCCATGTTGTGAGGACCAGTGCTTTTGAACGACAACAACCCCGACACGGAGTGTACATACGCATACAATACCGCTGTAAAAGTCTACTGCTACAGCAGTCTGGTGGTATCCTTCGCGTGGGTGCGGCGGCGGGGAATCTTGTAAAAGATGGATTTGAAAATATGAACAGCAGCAATGACTCCACCTCTTCACAAGTAAACAATTGCACAGCAATCTACCATTGAGCAATCCTGCATCTACCCATGTACCGCCATAGAGGCATGGGGAGTGAGTGAGAAAGAGCTGGCAAGCACTGCTGTGGAGACGTAGAGAGACATTGGCACACACCGGATGCAGCATGATGTTGTTGCCTTTTTTCCCCGGAGCAGAAGCAGCGGTAGCAGGAACCTTTTGCTCTTCACCCTTCTTCTCTTCTACGCCCGCGTCAACTTCCATAGTGTCTGCCATACCTTGCTCGGAGTAGGAGTAACAAAGAGGCGGGCTGTGGGCTGTGGCCGCCCTCTGTAACTCCGCTGTCCGTGCAGGGTGTGCACGATCGGGGCACCTCAGCAAACAAAACGGCGAGGGGTGCAAGAAATATTCATCAACTCTGTTGTACCCCTTTTTATGCTCGGAGAGCAACGAACAACAAACAATCTGCCAGTCTGCCAGTGTGCGGAGCATGCGCTGTGTTCCCTAGCACGGGCAATCGTTTGTGTGCTCGGTGGCAGTTCAGGGGGGAGAGAAACCCACATGGGTCCACGAAAGAAGAGCTATAACTACGGGACCTTCATCGCTTCCCCTGGGCATGGCGCGGAGGAAGATTATGGCGGGAACACAGCCAGCTCGTACCAAAGGTTACTGTCGGCGCCCGCGCCGGCTTTTTCAGTTCACCACGACCAAGAATATCGCATCGCCTTGCGAGAAGACGGAATGTTTGGGCTGCGATTAACGAAACACGGCGGGGAGGTGGTCCTTTCGGAGATGGACGACGATGTAGCACGGGTGAGGATCGGGTTTTGTACGGCTTCGCAGACAAGTGTGTCGCTTGAGACAGACGCAGCTGGAACGTGCATGTGCTCGCAAGCCCCTCCCCTTCCTCGCGCCGGGTCGTTGCTTGAAGACGTGCGTAGCTGTACTTGCGACACTCACCCGTGTAGGTGCAGGTAGCAAGCTCCTTGTGCTCTATGTACTGGATATTTGGTTGATGACAGCGAGTGCTGCGAGAATCGGAAGTTCTCTTGGAACGCACTTGAAATGAGAAATGAGAAGACTTCAATGCGGAGCTCCACATTTAGGCACACGCATACATGTACATTCAGACTCGTAGTGGGCCCACCCCGGTCCTACGCACGTTCATGCTGTATGTACGACTTCGGTACAGCTGGTCGGCCGGGTTGTGATCAATTTCTTGGTTCACGACGTGAAGGATTACACACGCGCTTGGGCGAGGTTGTTGGCGCCAGAAAATCGTGTACATCAGCAGTACATGTAGCGGCGCGTCTTGATGCATGCATATCCCGGGCCAGGAGGGCCGAAGCAATGAAGACATTGAAACTCAGTTGTCACGTTGAAGACGACGCCCCCTGGTCTCAACTTATATCTCAAATATAATAGTCAGGCATGGTGTTCCTCAAGGGCCGTTTGAAAATGGGCACATTTCGTTTCCAAATTTCCAAATTTCCAAATTCCAACCAACTAGATCTCGATGGCTCCGAAAGACCAGGAAATTTGAAAGTCGCGAAGACACAGTTGAAATTTGAAGTTTGGAAGCGCTGGTGCCTATAGCATGGCGAAAGGGGCGTGCCTTACTTTGCCTATGCATGGCGACAGGGGCGTGCCTTGCTTTGAATTCTACTGCAGTATGCGTGCAACGATTTGAAATATTTCGAACTTCATAAGCGAGCCGGCCCTTGTTCCCATCATATTGCTGCCGCTTGTGAAGTAAAAATCGTTTCTGTATACTCAATTGTTTTGTCATGCTTCGTCTCATCTCCCAGGCTCGTGGGTTGTGCGAGGGCGACGTAGTCACACACATGGATGGCGAACCGCTTCTCGGCTCGTTGAAAGCCGCCGCTGAATGCATGGACCAAGCGGGAGATTCGCTGTCGCTCCGAGTCCAGTCCGGCCACAGCAACTCGCGTACCGGGGATGGTCCGAGGAAGGCCAAGTATCATGTTGTGCAACACATCGTTCGCCAAGGGGACTCTGTCGAAGCCCTCGCTGAGCAGTACGGTGTTACGGCCGACGAAGTCCGCATATGGAACCGGAAATATTTTCCCGTGGGAGAGCCTGGATGCCTTTGCCCGGGGCAGGTATTGACCCTGCGCGACACTACGGCAGACCAGGCGAAGGACCGAAATAGGGCGAGCCTGGATTCAACCGCTCGCAGACGAAAATCGGAAGGAGATGGTGCGAGGAAGCGGATGCTGTACCAAGTGCGCGAGGGGGACTCGCTCAAGTCGATATGTGCGCGGTTGAAGCTGAAGGAGGGGGAGGTGCGTGGGCTGAACCGTGGCGTGTTCCCTGTGGGAGAGGCGGGGGTGGTACTTCCTGGCCAAACGTTGACAGTCTTCGCGGAAGATTGTGACATCCTCGTCACCGAGGAAGGGAGTGGACATTCGACAGAGGAGCTAGATGAACGAGCGTTCATCCAGGACTTTACTGGGCGCAAGACTAAGCGCTCTTCTTTGAGTCTTGGGATCCGTGGAGCAGGAGTCATGGGTTGATGGGGCAAAGATGTAGCGTAGATTATTGCCATCGTTTTCGGCACCAGTACTATCCTTTGCACGGTTTTGTAGGTCACGAAAACGTTCCATGCGCTGAAAGTTGAACCAGATGCTGTGTAACGTGGCACCATACCCCAGGTACTGCAGTACAAGCTGGTTCAGGGTGAATGCCAGAAATACGTTTCGCACCACGTGCCGCACGTAATACCTAGGGCAAGGGAACAGGGTGACATGCCTGTTTCTTTTCTCGAGGCCATAGATTGTGGTGGTGCTAGAGCGGATGCGCCTCTCGGCCAATCAGTAGTTTTGAAATTGATGAAAATTAAATACTTGTACATGAATTTCCATCGTCGTATATGGTCAACCTCGGCATGTTCGCTGCTGTGGCGTCCCCCGTGTTCCAGGAAACACAACGCAACAGAGTGATACACGTTCTTACTCGAAAGGTGGCAAAAGCATGTGATGTTGGCGTCAGATTTCGATTTGTTTTTTTGTTTGTATATTATATTGTACATTACAACAGTCAGTATCTCAGAGAGCGCCGTGGTGTTCCTGACGTGGGCATGGTCCAACCTCGCTCAAAATTTGTAGGTCAGGAATAAGTGTTGCAAATGAAGCACGGTTTTTAGAAAGTTCTCAGCCGACTTTCCGTCTGTTCGTTCCACAGACCGAGACCAGCGCAATCGGTTTTAAAGTTTTCGGTTGCTGCGTTCATCATGGTAGTATTTCCAAAGTTTGTATGGGCCACTCAAGCGAATCGTGTAGCCACACATTGAGCTCTCACACTTGCTCAAATACTTTGGGGTCAGTGTGCCCGCGTAATCGGCTAAAGGGTTCAATAGAAACGCCACATGTTCACGCCGTTACTTGAAGTTGCATCCTGGAAATTTTCGCATGAATACTATTGGCTTCGCGAACATTAGGACCATGGCCTTTGCTTCTTTTTACCCGTTGTCGGGGGTCCCGGGAGGCCCATGTGTGGCCCCGAAAGATCATTTAAAGGTTTGAACTTCCGCTAAGAAAACGTGTGAAAAATTTATCGTGTAAATCCAAAAAACTGTGAACGCATGCGTATGAACGTCTTGCTCGGAATAAATTTGTCGGGTCACCCGGAACAGGCTTGAAGTCCGCGCGTGGGCCCCCGGTGTTACTACTACGAGCTCAATTGTAGCCTCAACAATTGGTTTACAGTAGACACACGTGCTCCGTATTGACAGCAGCCGTTTCCAAAGTAGTGGGTTCGCCTCGGGTGTTCCAGGTGGTACAAGCAACATCGTTACCCAGTCTCCCCGAGTCAACTGTCGGCATCAAGTGGATATTTTCAGGAGCCTGCCCTCAGAGTTTGTGAAATAGTGCTGTAGTTCGAAATGCAAGGACAGTCTGCACTACATCTTTCTGTTGCGCCCAACACGCCAGTGCTCGTTCACAGCTACGCTCATCAAGGGCGGGAAATACACACAACTCTCTCGCTCTAAAATGTGGTGGTAGGCTCCAAATCATTACGAACGTACACGCGACTGCGTGCGATGGTGTTAGATGGGACGTCGGTAGTCCTTCAAACTTGCCACCAGAGGCGTTCACTCGGATCGTATTGACGTCAATTAACTTGTTGTCGGGCCCTTGTTGTGTCAGCTGAACTAACTCTAAACCGGAACGTTGAACGGCTTCCCCTGGCGACACTCAGAGTGCTCGAATACGTCGGTACACATGACAGATGTGCAGAAGGCTCTCAGATTAGGGTATTTCCGTTTCTTCCACCACACGAACAGGGTCGCCTTTCCTCCATATTGCCAGCGGAAACGAAGGACGCCCGCGATGCACATTTCTTGGCCCAAGTGTTGACGCCGCACCGATATCCCCTTTGGGGTTCATGGCCATGACGGCCACGGTCAAACGGTCATGCATCCGGTTGACCTCTTCTACAGAGCGACCGGCAGCCGATCGTTTGACCGTTTCCTCCAGTCTGGCGATGCCTTTTTTGCAGGCGAGTTGCGGGGAGTCGCCTCCACGCATGAACTCCACAACCGCAAAACTCAAGCAGGTGCGAAGAATTTCCTCTCCGTCCCCCGTCGCCACCGCAGCACCCACTGAAGAGTCACAGTAAAGCCCGCTACCGACAACTGGGGCGTCTCCCACGCGACCAGGGTGTTTGAATTTCCATCCCGATGTGGACCTGCGTTTCCAGGAAATTGTTGAGCACCACGAACAACGGTGCACATCGTTCTGGCATATTTGGTGCGTCAAAAGTCGACAATCTTGATCGAATTCGACACCAGTGGAATCGAAATGGAGCAACATAGGATGAATTAATGCGCACAGGGTCGCACGGGGCTCTTCATGTTGCGCATGACGATTGCACGTAGTTTGTTCCAACACAAGATATGTATATTCGATATAAACTTCATATTTGCTCTTCAACCGTGAGCTGAAAGGCGAGATTTCATGCTTAGCGATATCACACTAATAATGCTCCGTGCAGAGACAAGCGCTGCGCATCTCGACTACAGACTGTTGCTCATTGTCACATCGTCCTCTCACGCTCTGACGCCATATACTACAAGGACGGCAGCAGCTTGCTCTCTCACGTTCCAGCACAAAGATTTCCGTCGTGATCCAAGCAGATGACACCGACCGTGTCGTGTGATTCTCCTCTGTGGTCCGAGCCTTCTTCCTCCAGATGCTGTCGTCTCCAGTCCTCAAACTGCTGTTTAGCATCATCGGTAAGGGTCTCTGCCGCCTCGATGCCGTTCCTAACAGCGAAAGTTGTCGCCCCCTGCGAGAAGCCGGCGTCATGTTTGTCTGTAGATGGATGGTGTGCGAAACTACCCAACAAAACAAGATCAATGAACGACGCTAGCGGGGTGCTTAGTGAGATCAATTCCCACACGGCACACGGCAAGTGAGTTCCCCCGTCGGCAACAACAGCACTCGGGGGATTGATGTGTGGTGAATTTTCGAGAACTGCTAGCAGGAAAAATTGGTGGATGGCATTACTACGACACGATGCCATCGTGCTGCCAACTCACTTCACCCGCAAGAACGCTGTGTGGGCTGCGCTCCATCACCACCCGAGCGGCTGAGAAAGCCTTCACGACTCCCCTGCTCTCCGAATATACGTTGCGCGAGGGGGGAGGCGAGGAACAGGAAGGCGAAGGGGGTCGCTTCTGGTCGGGGGCGATGCTCCAAGTATCGAGCTACAGTCAGGCTCCGCGCGCCATGCCCACCCTCCTACCCTCCTGAGTGGACAGACCGATGTTGCTGTGGACGGTTTCATCTCGATTGATTGGCAGACACGCGCCCTACAGCATGAATTGAGCTGTTCGAGTGCGTGTCATGGGCAGAGATTTCTTGCCTTACTGCCAACACAGCACCGTATGACATTGACGTGCCCTCCATGACAGCAGCGTCGAACTCCATCTGACCATTCGCATTTGGCAACCCTCCAAGCCCCACAAAATATTGATCTTGGGTGTCGAGTTCGACCGCGGTAACACCTGAAGACAAATACGTCGCGTGCAGGTAGGTCTAAATGCGTGGAGCAGACAATGGAACTCACACGTTACTACTGTAGATAAGAAAAATGTGCCGTATTTTAGTCGTTTTGGACGGAGCCTCATCATCCATGAACGACGATGTATAATTTACTTGTCTGTAGATCTCACAGACCATTTGCACACATGGCGTCTGACCGGGTTATAGAACATAGCGGCAACAGGGGATGCATCTTGTTGGTGGACACTCTCCAAGCTTCACACGCCACTCCCGGACTGGTGTCCAAATACTCTGATGCGATGGAGTGGTAGATGGAGTACAGCAATTGCAGCGAGTTGACCTACCGAATGTGACAAGAGATATCATACCCCCGGACCGATTTTCAAAGCAGACTCGGCGGCAGTGCAGAAAATGGCGGCGTTGGAACCGTCTCGCCGAGAGCTTTCCAAAACGTGTCGCATGATTTGTGCATCCTCTCTTCGTGTGGTAAAATCGAGCTTTATTGTATTTTTCCGAAGTGTCATTTTTATTATTATTTTCCACGAAGTCTGAAAGGTAACTCTCTGGCAAATAACGAGGGGGCGACACCGGTCGCTTCCCTCTCTCATCCAGAATCCAAGTTCCCTTTCATGTCAACTAGCCGGGCCTAACAAAATGCCGTCTCAGTATACCGAGACCCCCAATGGTACTCTACCATTGACATCCGACATCCACAATCAGACCCTCATCACCCAGTTCCCCGTGGAATAATAGCAATCATATCGACATGTCCACTACATATCCTCCCGGTATACATACCCCCGATTATCGCCCCCCCCCCCCCCCCCCCCCTTTTTGAGGCCAAAAAACCACGGAGGGGGGGGGGGGGGGAACACACAACCCCATCTTCCTGGA